GTCATGCTGTATCTCTGCTCAAAACCTGAAAATGGCCCTTATCATAATCCTAAAGACCCTTGATGATCTTTCCCCCAACCTGTAACCCCATTACTTCCATAACCAGACATCCTATCATTTTTCTCCTTGCTCACTCTGAAGGCTGTCACTGTGGCCTCAGAGCTGTTTCTCAGACATATTAGGCATGCTTTTTGCAATTGTTCTCCCCAGGATATTAGCATGTTTTGTTCCTCACCTCCTTTAAGTCTTCATCTTTGTTCAAGGGTCACCTTTTTCAGCAAGAGCAAGGACTTCCTTGATTGAGTTTCCATATTTCAAATGGCAACTGCCATCCTCACCTCTGGCCCTTACTATCCTTCTTCCCTATTCTACGTTTTTTTCTGTAACATACTATGTATTTTATTTACTTATTTATTGTCTGTCAACCCCTAGTAGAGTGAAAGCACCAAGAAGGCATGGATTTGTTTTTTTTAAAACTGAATCCCCAGCACCTAAAATCAATGCCTGGTCCACAGAAGGCATTCAATACATGACTAGACAAATCTAGTGTTCATTTCCATTCCTTCATAGTGCCTACTATGTACCAGGTTTCTCGGTGCTGAGAGTGTGGTCAATGTAGCTTATATTCTAGTGAGGGAGACAACCAAATAAGCAATGAATCCATAAAATGTGATGTATAAATCCATATAATACAGTAAAAATATGATCGGGGGCACACAGGGCAGGCTAGATAGGAAATGTATTTATACAGGTACCAGAATGAAGTGATAAAATAAGTCATCAAAGAATCTAGGGGAAAAACATTTTAGGAAAAACAGCCCTGGAGATAGAAATGAGCCTGACAAGAGAACAAAAAGTGAGGATAAAAGGGCTAAGATAACTCAAAGAGATGAGCAAGGGCCAGACTGTATAAAGCCTTACAGATCATAATAGAGTCTGGATTTTAATTGATGTTCAACAGGAAACCATTAGAAGGATTTCAGCAGAAATCCTGTTTTAAGTTTTAAAAGATTACTCTGGCTGCTGAGAGAATGAATTTTGGAGAGCCAATGGTGGAAGCAAGTAGACCAATTAGGAAGTTATTGCAATGGGCCATGCAAGAAATGATAGTGGCCTGGATAACAGGTAGTAGCTATGGAGGTAGAGAAGAGGGATCCAATTCAGGATATATTTTGGAGAAATAATCCACAAGACTTAATGAGATGCCATTAGACAGCCAAGTAGAAATGTCAAGGTGATTAATGGGTTACTTGGAGCTTAGCAAAGAGATAAGGGCTAAAAGGGAAAAAGGGAATAGGTTAAGAGGACTTAGGACAAGGTTACAGATAACAAAAGAGGACCAGAAACATTAAGTCTAGGAAACTCAACAAAATCATAGATAATACGATAGCAGAGGTATACAAAGAATATTTGTGGGAGCACCTAACCCAACTAGGAAAGCTTTTTGGCTTTTTTGGAAGTACTGTATATGAGTTTCAAAGGACATGGAATAAATATTGAGGCAATAGGAAAAAGGTTAAAGACTTTGGTGAGAGACTGATGGGGGCAGGGGATGAGGAATAGATGTGAAGCAGATGCCATCAGCTGAGACTCATTACAGAAGAGGCATATATGTCAGGACAAGGAGATGGAGAAAGCAAGAGCCAGCACCAACACAGTACCTGCAATGTAAGTTTGCAACCAATGCTGCAAGAATTAATGAGAAGGAGAGAAATGTTATGTTTCCTCGTCCTTACTATCTCATAATCCCACGTAGTTTAATAAATCTAAGTAATAGCCAGGTACCTTCCCTCTTCCTTCTCCTAGCAAAGAAAAAGATCAGGGCAGAGACAGAAAGACTAGAGTAGAAATTACACTTGCAACACTGAACAGCCTGAGATTTATATCATTTCTTTGTCTTGCTTTCCTTTCCTTCTCTCCCTTCCTCCCTCCTTTTTTTTTTTTTTTTTTTTTTTTTTTTTTTTTTTT